AAACGGATGGGTGGATGGACGGGGAGACAGATGGACAGATAAACGGATGGGTGGATGGACGGGGAGACAGATGGGGGGGGGCACACGGACAGAAGGATGAATGTTGCGTGTGTGCGTACGTGTGGGTGGGTACGTGTGTGTAGATATATTCAGAGGTGGCTGGGTAGATGTTCTGCATGTGTGTACATGCGTGCGTACGTGTGGGTGGGTGTGTGTGTAGATATATTCAGAGGTGGATGGGTAGATGTTTTGCATGTGTGTACATGCGTGCGTACGTGTGTATGGATGCATAGAATAATGTATTACCTCCGTTGTCATTTATTCGCTTCCACCCGTACAGGCTACAGATGCGGATTCAGGTGACTACGGAATAGTGTATTATTACATCGTGGACACCGGAATTGACAGGTATTGTTTTATGTATCATTCCTCATCATTGTCATCATCATTGTCATCGTCATCATCATTGTCATCATCATTGTCATCGTCATCATCATTGTCGTCGTCATCATCATTGTCGTCGTCATCATCATTGTCGTAGTCATCATCATTGTCAGCAGCATTGTCGTTGTCATCATCATTGTCATCATTATTGTCGTTATCATCATCATTGTCGTCGTCATCATCATTGTTGTTGTCATCATCATTGTCGTCGTCATCATCATTGTCATCATCATTGTCATCATCATTGTCATCATCATTGTCGTTGTCATCATCATTGTCGTCGTCATCATCATTGTTATCATCATTGTCATCGTCATCATCATTGTCATCATCGCCATCATCGTCGCCGTCGTCATTATCAACCTTTATCATTCACACGTTGATCAAACATGGCCGATCCTCTTTTACGATAATGTGTCGAAATGAACCATTTCATAATTTTATATTATAATATCTATATATTTATATATAACCTTATAATATAAATAGAGTAATTCACGCGTCATCTATTGCCAATAATGTTCTGATGTTTTTGTTCTGTCGTCGCAGGTTCGTCGTCAAGGAAACGACGGGTCTCGTCAGCGTGGACCAGCCGCTGGACCGCGAGACGACGGATAAATACTACCTTACCGTGGAGGCTCGCGACTACAAGGTACGCGTGGCGCCATCCGCTGGCCGTCGTCAGAAGTAATGTAGTCCTGTAGTCCTAAGACGGTGAAGTCCTTGGCGATATATGTTATGGCGTGTGGGAAATGTTCCGACTACTGTTTCTGCAAATGGCCAATGCATGGTCAATGTGATCTGTCTCTCTCTCTCTCTCTCTCGCTTAATCGCTCGCTCTCTCTCTCTCTCTCTCTCTCTCTCTCTCTCTCTCTCTCTCTCTCACTCTCACTCTCTCAATTGAACTCTCTCTCTCTCTCTCTCTCTCTCTCCTTTCTCTCTCTTCTCTCTCTCGACTCTTCTCTATCTTTCTATCTCTCTCTCTCTCTCTCTCTCTCTCTCTCTCTTTCTCTCCTCGCCTCTCTCTTCTCTCTCTCTCTCTCTCGCCTCTCTCACTCTCTTCTCACACTCTCTCCAACTCTCACATTCTCACGGTCTCTCTCTCTCTTCTCTCTCTATATGATAATAATATATATATATATATATACATATATATATTAGATAAATAGATAGATAGATAGACAGATAGATATAACACACTTTTCTCTCGCTCGAATTCTTGCGCACGGCTTATCCATACGTACGTTCGTTTGTTTGTTGCGCTGAGCAGGGTCAGGGCAACCGTAACAGCACGCAGCCTGGAGGTGGCATTCTCGACGTGAACGGACAATGCGCCCGTGTTCGTGAATACCGTCTTACGACGGTACATCGAGGAGGACGACTTTGACGCCGCCCGCCTTCCGCCTCGAATTCATGCGCACTGAGTTGCGAGGGTCGCGAGGTCACGGCGGGGAGTACCGCGGTCGGGTGGGGTCGCGGGTTGGGGGTGGCGGTGGATGGTAGAGAGGGGATGTACTGCGTAGGAGGACGATTTCATACCGCCCGCCTTCCGCCTAGAATTCATCGTGCACGTGAGTTGCGGGGGTCGCGAGGTCACGGTGCTGAGAGCCAGTGGGTCGGGGGGTGGTGCGGTGGCGTCTGGGATTGTTTAAAGAGGGGATGTACTGGCGTAGCGAGGACGATTTCTAGCGCGCCGCCTTCCGCCTAGAATTCATCGTGCACGTGGAGGTTGCTGAGGGGTCGCGAGGTCACGGTGCGAGTCAGGGCGGGTGGTGGGTCGCGGGGTTGGGGGTGCGCTGGCGATTGTTTAGAGAGGGGGATGTACTGGGTAGGAGGACGATTTCTACCCGCCCGCCTTCCGCCTAGAATTCACCTGAGTCGCTGGGTCGCGGTGCGTGGGGGGATTAGAAGGGGAAGTACTACTGGGGAGATGTAGTTGTTATGTTAGGTTAAAATGTCACAGGGCGTGCACGAGGTCGTAGTGTGTGTGTGTGTGTGTGTGTGTGTTGTGTGTGTGTGTGTGTGTGTGGTGTGGTCTGTGTGTTGTGTGTGTGTGTAGTGTGTGCGGTGGTGAGGGGGAGCAAGTATGGAAGGGTTTCGTTTTCAAGGAGCGATTACTGATCGAGTATGTCACACCGTGCGCCGGCCGAAATTCAAATCTTTCCTAATCCTCTCTCTCTCTCGCACCGAGAGCGTCTTCACGCTCATCGTTGCGCGAGTGGAGCGGGAAATGGCGACAATCGTGCGATCGCCACGTAAGCGACGAGAGTTCGAGTGCTTATTATGTTTCCACCGAGATTCACGTCGTCGTCATTATCGTCGCTGCAAGCGGAGCGACCGCGGCTTGTAGGCAACAGGGGTTCGAGTGCTTATTAGATTTTGCTCGTGTTCGTTCCCTGCCGGCAGGCGACGGACGCGGATGCCTCCTAACAGCGACATCAGCTATTTCTTCATCGACGACGACTACTCTCCCGTCGTCGACGGCAACTTCATCGTCGACGAATTCACGGGTGAGAGAGCGTCGATTATATTCCGCTGCCACTTATATCTCCACCCTATTATATATAGTATATATTAATATATATATATATATTTATATATCTATTCTATCTATCTATATATATATATAGTATATATATATATATCTATATCTAATATATATATATATATATATATCCACGATTATATCTTCCAGCCCTCCCCCTCCTCCTGCCCCCGCCGCAGCGCCTCCCTAGTATCTCCGCTAGCATTCCCACCTCCGCTGCCCCCCCCCCCAGTTCTAGATATCTCCCCACCTTCCCACCTCCGCCGCCGCTGCCTCCCTAGTGTCTCTCACCTTCCCACCTCCGCCGCCGCCGGCGCCCGCCTCCCATCCCTTAGGCATCTTACCACCCTCCCCAAAACCTCCTGCTCCACCCCTCATCCCTAGTAGCTCCCACACTCCCCCACCTTCCGCACCGCCGCCGCCGTCCCTCCCTCCCTAGCATCTCCCACCCTCCCCCACTCTCCGCTGCCACCCCAGCCCTAGTAGCTCCCACCCTCCCCCACCTCCGCCACCGCCGCCGCCGCTGCCACCTTAGTATCTCCCACCCTTCCTCACTTCCGCTGCCACCCCAGCCCTAGCATCTTCCACCCTCCCCCACCTCCGCTGCCACCCCAGCCCTAGTAGCTCCCACCCTCCCCTACCTCCGCCACCGCCGCCGCCGATGCCACCTTAGCATCTCCCACCCTCCGCAACCTTCGCTGCCACTCCCAGCCCTAGTAGCTCCCACCTCCCCCTCCTTCTCCGCCGCTGCCGCCGCCTCCCTAGCATCTCCCACCGTCCCCCACCTCCGTTGCCAGCCCACGGCCCTAGCATCTCCCACCCTGCCCCACCTCCGCTGCCACGACCAGCCCTAGTAGCTCCCACCCTCCCCCACCTCCTTCTCCGCCGCTGCCGCCGCCTCCCTAGCATCTCCCACCTTCCCCCACCTCCTCTTCCGCCGCCGCCGCCTCCCTAGCATCTCCCACCTTCCCCCACCTCCTCTTCCGCCGCCGCCGCCTCTCTAGCATCTCCCACCTTCCCCCACCTCCTCCTCCGCCGCCGCTGCCTGCCTAGTAGCTCCCACCCTCCCCACCTCCCGCGTAATCTGCGATGTAGTCTTCATGGCTCACTTGATCCCCTTCTTCACGAGCAAGTTGATCGGTGCAATTCCCTTCCCGTTTTCAAGGTCGTCGTTGGAATCGAGTTGGCGGATATTAGGACTGTAGAGCCGGCTGTTTCGTCGGCCTTTTAACTTACTTTAATTAAACATTGTAATCGATACGATAAATATTGTAATAAATTGGTAATCTTCGAGAACACTTCCCATCACATGGGAATCTATCGCTGCAGGCGTGATAACGGCGCGGACGCAGATCGACTTCGAGTTGATGGACCCGGACACGCAGGGAGCGACGTCGCCGTGGTACCGCAGCTTCTCGCTCGTCGCCATGGCGATCGACCACGGCGAGCCGCCGCTCAACTCCACCGTTCCCGTGACGATATACGTCGAGGTGAGCGCGAGAGATATCGTCTGCGCCGCCGCCATCTTTGAAGCGACGGTGGTCTGAGTATTGTATACGCTATATATATTTCCGGTGGTTTAATTTTCGCGAATATCGCGAACGCGTGCCCGACCGCGAAAATGACGACGCGCGAATCATTCATACCGAATAATCCATAATTCACCGACCGCGAAATTAACCACCCGCGAAATTGTCCGTCAAGTCTGATAGAATTCGCGAAAATATCTGTATGCAAAAAATATCGCGTATACAGTATTTGAAGCCGACGATGTCAGATGCGTCCGCGGATCGTAGCTAGCGCGGCCGTAATCGCATAGAGGGCGCCAGGAAGCTTGGTGTTTTAATTACTGTTCCACTAGATGGCGCTGGCAAGCCTAGTGTCCGATTTATTATGCTGGTAGAGGGCGCTGGCAAGCCTAGTGTCCGATTTATTATGCCGGTAGAGGGCGCTGGCAAGCCTAGTGTCCGATTTATTATGCCGGTAGAGGGCGCCGCGGTGCTAATCGCGCAACGATCTTGCTTTCGCCGCGCAGGACGTCAACGACAACTCTCCCATCTTTGATCCGGACGCGTACGAGGTCGTCGTCGATGAGACGGTTGCCGCGGGGACGCACATCGTGCGCGTCTCGGCGACGGACGCCGACCCGACCCCCTTCAACGGCGCTGTCTCTTACCGTCTCGACGGCGTCGGCATCGACACGTTCCGCCGATCGAACGCGGCGAGCGGAGAGTCGACGGTGTGCCGCCCAACGCCAAGCTTTGACCTCACGTGACCGGGGATGAAGCAGTAAGGTACGCGGGCAGTAGCGCGTACAGGTTACGCTGGACGCGTAAGCGCTTACAGGTACGCGCGCAGTAGATCGAACAGGTACGCGGGCAGGTAGGCGCAGGTACGGCGCGGCCAGGTAGCGGTACAGGTACGCGGGCAGGTAGCCGGTACATGTACCCGCGGCAGGTACCAGGTCTACAGGCTTACGGCTGCAGGTAGCGGTACAGGTCACGCTGGCCAGGGAGCGGTTACAGGTTCGCTGGCAGGTAGCTGGTACAGGTACGCTGCGCACCGGTAGCGGACAGGTAGGCTGGCAGGGTAGCGTTACAGGTATTTCTGCGGACATGTAGCGTACAGGTACGCTGCAGTGTAGCGGTACAGGTACGACGGGGCAGAGCGCGTATGGCAGCGTAGGGTACGAGTTACGCTGGCAGGTAGCGCTACAGGTTACGCAGGCGCCAGTAAGCGCGGCACTACGGTTACGGTCGCTGGCAGGTAGCGGTTACAGGTATCGCTGGCAGGTACGCGGTATAGGTACGCGGACAGGTAGCGGTACAGGTACGCGGGCAGGTAGCGGTACAGGTGGCAAGAGTTGAGATGTTTTAGAGTTCGATGTTCTAGAGTTCGAGTTTGGTGTCATGACTATAGAGCGATATTACTTTGTTGTGCCTCGCGCAGGCTTACACACTATCCCGACGTTATGTGTGATTGAACGTTGTCCCTTCCCTCCCTCCATTTCTCCCTCCTTCCCTCTCTCACTCACTCACTCCCTGTGTGCATCACACAGTGCCATAAACCGATGTGTGATCGTATGTTAACCCTTCCCTCCCTCCCTTCCCCACGCTCGCAGTCTGACGATGCTGGCATGGTACAGATATGCAGGTAGCTATGCAGAAGCTAGTCACGTAGGTAGTAAGTGACGATGCCACGATGTGATATGTGATCGAATGTTAACCCTTTTCCCTCGCTTCCCGCGCGCGTCACACAGCTATAACGTGATGTGTGAGCAGGTGATTGTGTGTGAAGCAGTACAGGTGCTGTGATCGGATGTATCATGTTAACCCCTTCCCCGATGTCAATTATTTCAACCTAATTAAAATATTAATAATTAATTATGTATAAAATTAATATAATAATTATTATAAAATAATAATAAAAATATTTATTGAAATTTTATTTTTAATTTTATAATTATTTCACAATTTAATTATAAATATAATATTTATTGAAATTAATCAAATTAAATTAAGCCCCTGACTGTCTTCCCCTCCCCGTGCACGCAGTCTGACAGTGCTGGCATCTGACGATGGGGTGCCGCGACGCAGCGGGTCCGCGAACCTCACGATCGACGTGACGGACGTGAATGACAAGCCACCCTCGTTCCACGCAATGACGTACGACGGATCGATCTACGAGGAATCGATCTTACTCACCTCCGTTATACAGGTATGTGTGTGGGTGGGTGTGTGTGAGGGTGGGGGAGGGGGGAGGGAGGGGTGTGTGTGGGTGCATGAATCGTTCCACGCGACGACGTACGACGGATCGATCTACGAAGAATCGCTGTTATACACCTCCGTTATAGAGTTTGCTCTAGGTTTATATATATATATATATATATAC